ACTAATTGCTTTCTATTCCTGCTCTTTCTTTCTTGATCTTTCCCATCTTCTGCTGCCAGATATTACATTTCTGACTCTCGTCATATACTACTTGTATCCACATAAGTAGCACGCACCACAGTACTAATAATCAGATGAATTCAAAAGATCGATTGTACATTTTCATTACTTCCAAGTTATTATGTTTTTAAACACAGTAACCATTAATATTATGTGAATATATAATATAACTCCGCCTGGAGTCCCTCCAGGGGTTGGAGAATGCTGGTCGGCGGCCTATGCTCCATTGGAAGTAACAGGCGTAAGTAAGTAAGTAAGTAGTATAATATACACATGCATATAAGTATATGAATGACATAATTTCTTCAAGAGACAATGATTGTACAGTTTATTCAAAATAAAATGTATTTTCAAACCTTTTGTTTTAAGTTATTATTTAATTACAAAGAAAAAACAAACGATAGAATCCTTCTTTTTGTTGTTTTTTTTTTAATTATTCGATTAAAGATCATATAAGTAGATAAATAACAAGTCATTTATTTAAATATTCTGTTGTACTTAATTTATCTAAACATGTATAGTTATGTAATTTATTTGATGATAGTTACAAAGTACTCATATGGTTAGCAATTAATTTTTTGCATAAATCAGAAATATCTAACTGTTTCTAACAGCTCAATAAATTACTATTTAATATTGTAGACACGGGGAGATATTTTTTGGTTTTATTATTTTTTTGTGGTTTTTTTAACGCGGACTATGACTGATCAGAAAACTTCATTGAAAAGAAAAGAATTATCATGATAATTTCATAATATCTAGCAATATGCTTTGGAAAATCAGCTTAAGATTTTAATTATTTACTTTATTTACTTATACCTGTTACATCCAATGGAGCATAGGCCGCCGACTAGCATTCTCTAACTCATTCTTCAAAATAAAATGCATAATTGTACCATAAGAATTATATAATAAAAACCATGATCTTTGTTCTAATTTGACTTAATAACATTAGTGATAAACAATAATTTTTTTTAAAATTTTCATTCATATATATACATATGATGGTTGTTTAGTTCATCCTGTCGTTGTCTACAACTGATCTCTTTTTGGTATATATGCCATATTCACCTCTACTGAAAAAAATATAACTTATTTTTATTCTCAAGATATCACATCATCAACTTGAAATAATTAAAGTAAAAATTAAACCAAACTAATAAATAGTTATATATAAAATAGATCATTATGTTACAATGTAGTTTTTCAAATGATGATGAATAAATAATTGTTACGATCTAGGTTGAAAAGGCGCTTCACTTTTATATCGTTGTATTTACTTTCAAAATATTATATTCAAATTTCAATATTATTATTAATTCGATAATATCAGAGTGGGGTTTTGTGGAGATTAAAGGTAGATAACGATGAATAATCTGAAAGCACTGAATGGCCGTTTCGTCCTACTATGGGATTCCTCAGTATTACTGGACCATGAATGTGAACCATTGAGGAGTCCCATACTTGGACGAAACGGTCGTCCAGTGTTTCCAAGTTTCTTATGGTGATCTAGTTTTAATCGACTTATAAATTCAATAACAATCAAAATATTGTATAAAATTTATAAGCATACTGATTTTCAGTATATGACGCAGTATGTTATTGAATTATTATTTTATCTACTTAAGCAATCAAGACAATTGAACTCAATAAAATTATGTCAAAATAAATAAAGTATGTAGTTTGCATAGATTATAATCGATCAATGATTCACCTTCATATTTTATTGGTCATTGATTGAACCATAGTCACTGAAGGACCAATTTATCTGCTCATAACATTTACATAACATAATGTGGATTAATCTAATAAATCATTTTTTATTGTTAAAATCATAAATCAAACAATCTCTTCATGTTAGATTAGTTCATGTCTGAATTTTTACTAGCTCTTATGGAGCAAAATACATAAGATACATAATGGGACACTCTTTTCAAAATCATCTTTAAAGATTACTAAACGTTGATATCCAAAAATATTAGATATTCAGGAGCAGTTTATTTATTAAATGTCTTATTATTTTTAATTATCACACTTTGGCAGAACGTTGTTGTTGTGTACACAACAAAGAATCGATTATAGAACCATTCAGACTTGAAATTTGCATGCAAAAATAGCAGGTTTAACCTACTATTCCACTGTAATCTTCTACATCTATTATTAATTCTTAATAATCCTTTTTTTTACTATCTTCTTAAAATACTTTTAAACTAACAGATAAATAATAAATACCACCACATTTTTCTTCATTGACTTTTTCATATTGATCTAATCAACAACTAACATTTGCATTGCACTACATAATATGTTTTACTTGATACGCTTTGTTAACCGTGAGATGATTCTAAACAAAGATGTAGATTGGCTAGTGGTGAAATCCAGGATGCGCGTTTGGTCCTATTCAAAATTCGTCAGCTGGATGCACCTGCGTTTCAGATTTCATGTTCACTCTTGAACTCGAAGCCACTACTGTTCACTTCAAGCGCTATCGCGTGATCCACTTAGCTACTGATTCCAGATAGGCATTTGCTTGTGCAATGAGGTCCTCTATGCCACGTCTAGACACTATCCATCTTTGCTTAGAATACTTGTGTCTATTTATTTATCTAAGCATATAAACATTGATACAAGGGGGCACCAAACAGATATGCACCACATAAACCATTCGATTTATGTGAGGGCTTGGATACTGCTCGGGTGCTCAAATCGAGGCAGGTGGTTTTCTTAGGGAGCCACACTCTAAGCCTTCTACCCAAAGGTTAATCCACAAGGCAATGGAGCAACGTAAGGAGATTTTTTCACTGCATTATACTTCTTGAATAACATCTTCAAACCCTAATGTTCCCAATTACTGCTTATACTCTTACTACTTCTACCACCACGGGATTTGAATCGATAACTGCATCTCTGTGTTAATGTGATATGGCAACTCGAACTGATGAACGTACGTACGAAGTTCTACTTTGTTAACTGACTGACTGACTAGCTGCAGTCCCATGGTATCCGGTGACCAACAATACGTTCATACACCATTTGTTTCCTTAGGATCCTAGATCTCATGTGCACCATTGGTTTGTAATCAGGGTTTTCCAACTCCTCTAGGTTGATCCTCCGTTTCCACCAATCCGGTTGAAGCACCGAACATTCGCTTTTTGTCTTCTCAATTTCGTAAACAACACCCTTGCCACGAGAAGGCAGTGAGTAAGACTTCCCTGGTAGTGGTTGTATGCACGTAGTAATGTGAGAGCAGTTTGAGAGGTAAAGCTGACTCGTACTAGGTCATTTGGGAGCAGAATGTTTGTGAATTAAGGCAATATCGAGGCAATACGCACAGTATGCACATATGCCAACGACAGACTGATCAATCGCAGTCCTAAATAACAATGGGAAGATACAAGTAAAACAACACCAAGTGAATTAATTTCATTCTGTTTGCCTTTCCTTTTGAAAATAAGCAGTTATACCATGAATTTATTTTAATTAGCTAGACATCAAAATTCTACAGTTTAAAACACTAATTTATTGCAGCTAGATAACAACTTAAATCCAAGAAACCAACCGCATCTCTTTTGTCCAACTAACAGCAACAAATGATAGTCATGGAAAATAATTAATCGATTACATTTAGAAACATCGATAGTTAGATTCCGACTAGGTTATCTCAAGATTAGCTGATTAGCATGACAGTAACATTATGAAAAGTAATTCACCGCTAGTCTTGTTTATCCTTAGTTTCCTCATTAATGTCAGTATATTTGATTTACGAGAATTCATTCATCCTTTTTTTGAATAATTTACTACCGAATATTTTTTCATTACAATTCCACTGAACGTTTCGGAAGGGCAACCATTCAAAATTAACGTCTTATGAAACTCCTGCTATAATATACTCATCAACAATCAACCGTTTATTTAGTTTAAAAGTCAATATAATAAATTTTGATGTCAATACATTTAGTATCAGTGCCTTATTTGTAACATCTAGCATTATGAAAGGCCATGAGGACATTTATCACTCAAACAATTATCATCCATTATCAAAATTCTGGTGTAAATGTAAACCATGGAAAAGAAAATATTGATATTATTAATAGATTTATTCAATATTACATTTTGGTACAATATAGAATTCTCAGCACGAGATATTTCAAGAAGTTTCCTCTACAAAAACAACAAAAAGAAAAGAAAAAGGTGAAAGAAAGATCTGAATCTGTATAACTTTTCACTTAGAAACGTGTTTAAGAGTACAGGTTATTGACTAATTCAACTCTAACAACCTGTTCTTCACAGAGTATATTTGCTAGATAATATATTATAGAACTTTTACACCTTTGCTTCCGTGCATAGATTTTAATGTATTGACGTCTTGTTCTACCAGAAGATATACAACGAGAAAGATATGAATGGGAAGATGGTTAGTATCTCATAACACGTGTCAGGAGTTTGCAAGACTTTAGATGTCTATCCACAACCATATTAATGATGATCTCAAAAGATTCATTATACACCTTGCTAACTGCCTGCAGCACTCTCTGCAATACAGCAAAGTCTTTTCTCAAAAAGTCGGGAAAGAACAATAGGGAACGGTAAGAATTAATAGGTCATATGTAAGAATCGACAAATTGTAAGAGTAAATATCGAGTAATCATAAAAATGGCAATTCCAAATAAAAATGAATGTTTTCGTATGCTTATTATTTATTCATTTCTTAAATATACACTTCTTCATTTACTGTTAGTATGTTTCAATAGTGAATACATGCAGATATTTTTGTTAATATTGATTCAAAGTGAATGAAAAAAAAAATTAACTATGTTAACTAAAGATCAAACTCTAAGTTTCAGTACTAGTAATTCTCCAAAGTGTACTTTGCTCTACTTTACTTCTCTTTGAATATTCATCTAATCACTTGAAATAATTAAAATTGAAAATGTTGAAGTCTACAATAAAAGGTGAATATATAAATGAACAAGAAATAAATTCAATTTAATTCATAATTTTGATACATACAATAAGTTTTACATTTAGTAACTGAACTAATTCCATCATGATTCATTCTGTCTTCATTTTATTGTTGGTTGTACAAACTGCGATTTTTTCAGTTGAATCAAACAAAATAGTAAGTTTTATATTTCACTTATATATATATATATATATATATATATATATATATATATATATATATAATCTCGATAATGCAATGAGAAGACTTAGTTTATCAGAATTATGTGATATAGTTGCGCAATACATTTCGAACAATCTGATCACACATATACTTGTTAAGAATATTTATATATGAAAATTAAACTACGTCTTCTCATTGCATTATCGAAATTTATCAAAGGGACTAATATATATAATCATTGTGTGTTATGTAATCGTAGCACTAATCTCATTTTCTTTATGTAATCAATTATTACAATAGTCAATGTAAGATGTACACTTCACCAGATGAAATCAAGGTACTGAGAGTGGTTATTTCTCTTGAATCATGATGATTTCATGCACGTGTTATTTTATGTAGTCAACTTATTCTTATATAATGAGTCAAGATTCTACTATTTTACATTTTATAAAGCTATTATTTCTAGCCAAACATATACTTATTTACTTATATTTCCTTAGCAATGACTGATTGATCTGCTTCATAAATTTGAACAATAACTAGATAATTTGTTTAAGCTATCATAGAAAATGAGAAAGACTAATGTGACTTTAACACAACAATATATCTATCTGAATATGATACAAGGTAAATACTATAACAATGGAATAATAAGCATGAAAATAATAACGATAATATCAGCATTTAATGTCTAGGTAAAGAGATAAGATAAATAAGTTGAATTAGGAATTAAGGTTTTATCAAGTGTGATTAAATCAATCGTATACAATAAATTTTAGTACGATACTTTTACTACCATTACAGATTTGTAAATATGTCACAGTTTCTGTAATATTATTTTATTTAGTTTTTATCCTTACAATGACTAATTAACTAGCACATTCATTGATTCAAAGAAAGCATGAATAATTGAATAACCAAGTCTTTCTTTTCTTGATGGAGACAGTGTATACATCTAAGATAATTTAGAACAAAAGATGAATACTAGCTACACAAATTGATTGACATCAGTTATTAAGCTTAACACTTAGTAGGAAAAGATAATATTTTGAAGGAGATTTCACGCCACCAACACTACTCTTTACATCAGTAATGCATCTTTTAATGTAAGATAATGCAGTATACAATTTATTTTCAATGATTTATCTGACATAAACTATGCCTTCAAGTATCTGATGGAAAAAACCATTACACACGTAATTTTATTGTAGAACTTACTAAATATTGAAATAAATAAAACAACTATTTGTTGAAATGTAAAAGATTTATGTCTCATTGTGTTATTTCTTTACACAGAATTTAGTTGCTAAGAAAAATATTGATGACAATTCAACATTAGGTATGTCTTGTTTCTGATGATTATATATATATATATATATATATATATATATATATATATATATATATATATATATATATATATATATATATATCATTTGTCTTATATCAAAATTAATGTCCGAAAATCAAGCATTTGAGAGTTATAACCCATATAATTTTTAATAGGCTAAAGTAAAAAACGTTAACTTTGATTGACAATCTCAATGTTTTTAAATCTAATGAGCTCATTTTGACGTCCCATCACTTCCATAATGTCATTAACATTTCATTAGTAACTACTTAAAATACAAGTAGTTAATTGAAAATTTTAAGAATAGCACATAAAATGAAAATCATATCCATCATAGGTTCTATAAAGTATAAAACTAAAAAAAATATATCAAAATTGTGAAAATATTAGTTTGTATAATTGACCTATGAATGATTAATTGAAGATAACCATTCGAGATTGAAGCTTCTAAAATAATTATTACATTACCACTAAGAAAACAAATGGTGATCACATTCTAAAGTACAATTCAAATCTGATTGCCAAGTGTTATGTCAATATATTTTTTATATACGAATTCTCCACTTTTGTATATACAACATCATTTCCCAGGATATTTTAAAAAAATGTATGAACAATAAATGTAATAACAATATAAAAAACCGGATAGAAAATCAGTTGTATAAATATTCAATCCAATTTGTATTGACAATTTTAATTTTAAAATATCATTCTCATTGTTGATTTTTTTATTATGACAATTACGATAAACCTATATGTAAAGTACATTTGACATAGAAGTAATTTATCATATTAATGAACCTTAACAACAAGAAATTAGGAAATATGATTTTCACAATTGTTTCATCACTAGGTTGTGATCAATGTTATGTGTGTCAGGTCCTTCTTAGTGTAAATTGAATCCTACCGACCAAGTTGTAATGTGGCCACTAGTCTAGGTGACTCGACGTTGCGTGCACTTTGTTGAGATAAGATGGTGGTTAGAGGTAGTCAACAGGAAATCTTGAGCCCGGGTTTCGTGCTATTTGGCACTAGTCAGCAAGGTGTACCTGTAATCTTCAGGGAGCTGATGCTCCCTGACGGATTCTATCCCGTGTCACCCAACTTCACAGTCAGAAATGCTACCCCTCCAATATAGATACAATTTTTAGTATCTGCCTAAATTCAAAAGTATTTTATTATTTTAAATTCATAACTATGGTTTTTTTATCATTCAACTGTACAGTTTACCTAAGACTGACAAACGAAAAATCCGCACTCGACCCTCAATTAACAATTATACACTAATTTAATCATTTCTACTTAGCTATAACCATGAACAATAATTTCTTTTTACCACACATGTAACACTTCGAAAGCTTTTTCTAGCATAAATACATTACCATAATGTTTTCAAGAAAACATCTGACTCATAAATTACTTCCGGGTTTAGTAACCAATTTAAAAGATATGGTGTAAACTACTTCATACAGTGTCCCATAAATGCTCAATAAGCATATTGGTTAAACTATATTCAAGTACTAATTTGAGTAATCTAACATAAGCAAACAAATGAAATTTAAATAGATATTGGAAACTAGTCTTTATAAAAATAGACAGAAACTGATGATGGAATTTTCGTCTCATCAAAAGCTTCTTTGAATTCGTTTCTAGTATACATCACTCAGCGTATTAATATGAAGTATTGGATCTTTCGATGCATGATCTAGGAAGAATGAATAAGTTACGAAAGAACTTAGGAATTATTTGAATGTAACTGCCCCCATTCATCATAATTAATTGTCAAGTGTTTTGCCAATATTTTAACCGGAATCAGATTACTTTTATGGTCTAAATTGATCAAGAATATATTCTAGTTTATCGTGTTATATTTGAGGATTAATATTACACAAAACTTAAACCAAAGCTATTTTCCCATCAAACATTATAAAGTTGTGGATACAGTCATATGTATACAAAATATAGATAAGAAGTAAGTGCTGAACATCTGTATTAAATTCACGATCAACTCTTTTGATAAATACTAAAAGTATAAACATTAGATCATTTTTGAAGTTATCATCTTAGTGACCAAACAATCTCGTCTATTTGAATGATATTACTCTATTTTTTAGCTGAATGTGATACATGCTTAGCAGGGATGAATTTAGTTCACTACATTCTTTCAGAAAATTATTGGGTAGAGATTTATATGATTGCAGCACAACAATTATGTCAGTCTATTCCATCAGAAAGTCTAAGAAACACTGTAAGTAACAAAAATTTGAACATGAGACAATTATCTCCTTTTTTATTATAAGAAAAAGAGTATTTATCTGAAAGATAAATTGTTTGTTATGTATCATTCCTATTGATGTTTTATGAAAATTTTATCCTTAAAATAATATGATGATTATAAGCAAATGTACATTCCCATTTTAACATTTGGTAAATAAAGAGGGAACGAATCGAGCGAAGAAATTTCCTTTCAATTAGTTTTTCATCATGGTTCTATACTGATATATATTAACAACCATCTTAACATAGTCCAGATATTGTTCTCTTAATTCATCAGGGAGTTCTTCTACTGCGTAAATTTTCTCGTTGACATTTTTTTAACATCTTGGTAATATATGCATTTAGAGAATCAATTTGATTAAGCACATAGCGTCCCCTCTTTATTTACCAGTTGCACATTGCTTGAAACTTTGCACTACACAAAAACATGCATTTACATATACTCTAATGGATGAAAATGTTTAGTGACTGATGAAAATCTTAAAATGTTAAAGTTGATTATAAGCAATGATGGATAGTGGCTAGCATAGGAATCCAAGACGCGCGTTTCTTCTCGTTTGAGGATGTATCCAAGATTTGATATTCACTCTGGGACTTTAACCCAGTATCGTTCACTTCAAACTCAATCACATTATCCACTTAGCTACTGAGTCCAGATAACCACTAGTTTGTGCAATGGGATGAATTTTGAAATCATTTCATATTGATTGTTTGAACCTCAGTATGTGAGTGAATAACATGGTGCAGTTTGAAGCGAACGATCCTAGGTTCAAGTCCCAGGGTTAACATCGACTCTGAGATGTAAGCATATTCATCGGACGAGTCTAAATATGACGAAACGCACGTCCTGGATTTCATTGCTAGCTATCACCCATCTCTGTCTATAATGCTTGTGACTAAAATCAATCTCGGGACTATCCGTAGAGGATCAATATAGGCTAATAAATGACTGATTAATTGCATTACTAAACATTAGCGGGAACATTCAAACAATCGATACAAAAATGAATTAAGTTGATTGATAATTTTCAAATAGTCATAAACTAATTTCATTCATCTGATCAGTTTTAATTTTATAATTTTTAGTGAAATAAACTGTTTAGCAAAACAAAAATACTTTTTTGAAACTTAATTTCTATAATGTATATTCGACGGATTAATTTCTTACGTATCGAAAGTATCTTAGTAAGCATTGTAATTTGCTAATTAACAATAACCACAACAGTGAAAGTTCAGTAAAAAACAGTCAGCTTCTAGAATCACTATATTCAAGTTGTTTCACTTTGAAAGAATATATCACTCATTTATTTTTCTATTTTTTAAAATTCATCCAAGTGCCTGAAATATGTGAATAATTACCTTAATAATACTTTGAAAATACTGGCTACAGCAGTGAATCCTGATTACATTTGCAAGGTAATTTTTTTTAATGTATTGCATATATTTTAGCCTTTTGAAATATATATCATCAGTCTCTCCATTTGTATCAAAATTTTTCCAGTAGTTCATGGTTTAGAATTTTGTGTGGTAAAACGATTCTGTATAACTGTATCGTGTATTATTTTCGTTTTCACAACTATGAACATTAATAATGAAACCAAAAGACAAGTAATTCTCACCAGTATGGTGGTTTGTGTAGATAATAGAATTTTCAGTGTATCTATATCGCAGACAGATCTTAGTTAAACAACACTTAAAAACCTGAAAGCACTCGACAGGCAATTGATTCTAATAAGAAACTACCTAGAAGTGCATATAAAACGACCTCGCATCTGAGAATCTAACTCTGCAAACGATTAATCTCTAGAAAACTGGACTGAAATTAACTTCAATCAACTCACTATACTTCATAATCCCCACCAATTGTCTGGGATTGATGAATGTCTTACACCAGACACCGCTGAACTCCACTGGTCACCGATGCTGACTAGAACTCCAGAAATTATATCGTGAATGTTATCAACATAGTTTGAATGCACTTTACTGAGGAGTCCCAAGTTAAGACAAGACAAGTGTATAGTTCTTCCAGGGTACAATACTGATCTAACTAAGACTCATTTGAAATTTAAATACGATGGAAATAATTTTTAGCCAATGAATCGTATGATTTTAGTATGGTCAGAAAATTCATGTTCGTTCAAAAATACATTGAGAAATAATGGTAATCATTTTTTCTGTAATTGGTCACATTATCCGTCGTTAAAACGTATTCGACAAATGAGACGTTTTTTTATAAAACTAAATGGATGAGAAGACTTATAGCTCAGATGGATGATTTTGATGGAGTTTTGTTCTCTGAGCTGAAGCGAACCCACCAGCTCAAAGAACAAAACTCCATAAAACTGAATGAATTCATAATTTATAATTATCTTTAACATATGGTATTATTTTCCAGTTATAAACATTAAAACTTAAATTAATCATTCTCTGAAGCCATATGAACTTTGATGTTGACCCTATTTACAGATTGATGATATTTTAACTTCAATCGTTCGCTTTAATCTAGGTGATAGGTAGTGACTTGATGCGTCAGTATTCATATGTTGATGTTCTCAAGTAGACTAGAATCAATGTATTTAAATATTGTCGTCTTATTGACTAAACTACTAAGTAATGAGCTTAATATTATATGTGCCATTTTTACATATTTGAACTCTATATTTATTCGGTATGTTTTAAGTGTCTTCATGAATGTTTATAAATTTAACACTTAAATTTTAAACATTTGTACCACCGAAAACTTTTTATTCTTTTTGACAGGCATTACAAGCTTGTACAAATGATACAAATTCTCTAACTACTCGAAACATCGGTAAGTAGAATTATATAAGATGAAGTCTTTTAATATACTGACATATTCATTCATCTAATTGTTTCTTAATGTTATCAAAATCTAAATTCATTATTTTGAATTTAAATAGTTCTACAGTTACCTAGAAAAATATAATTCGAATGATTTACCGATGAGACCATAATTTATGGACAACCTTTGAGCGACACTAAAGTGACCTTAAGGAGGTTTATTGACAAGGGCTAAATGAGGGATTTAAACCTGTATAAAGGATAAGAATTGTGATTTACAGTTGATGGTTTGGGATAGGGATTAAATTTAAGGTTTTTATCACGAAATGACACCAGCGAAAATGCAAAGACATGCTATTTAATCAAATAGATGGAAAATTTCGAGCCGAAATCTAAGACCTGTTGTCGTAAACCTGATTGGTTCGTCCGATTTATCTGATAGTCTACTGAGAAATATTCTTAGTGAAATCACTAGTCATTTTAATCGTTTTTACTATATTCTTTTTGGAAGACATTTGAACTAGAGTTAAGATGGAAACTTGTAAACAATTTTAATTGAATGAATAAGATATTTTAAATCATAATTTATTTTAATAGGTCCTTGTTTATATTATAACCTAATGTTTAACATGATGAGAATATTCTCCATTATTGACTTATCACAGAAGACACAAAACAGAAATCGTTATTATAGAGTAATTAAGATTAATATATTAATTCTAGTGAATGTTCAGCATGTCCGATTATCATTATTCACTATGTATTTAGTGTCGGTTATTATGTTTAGCCCCTATACCTTATTCTAGGTTTCGAACAGACTATTTCATTCATTCTACTTGAGTCACATTCTGACCTTGTTATTTATTCGCTTATCAATCTTGAATGTTTTTATATGAGAGCGTAGGTGTGTGTACATTTTTAATCGCATTACTCATCATATGTATGTAACTTACTTTTGTGTAACTATAGATATTGCCATGTTAAAAGATATTTTTCCTTATGCTTAAAGTTAGTGTTTGCAAGAAACAGGCGGTTATCTGAGCATAACTGCAACAGACGGTCGCCATTATCTGTTCTTTGAGCCACGAAGCTATAAGATTCACCTAGGTGTCTTTCCCTATCGCTTAGTTTACCTACTTCAGCATTAAAATCACCAGCCACTATTAATACATCAGAGCGCCCAGCTTTTCGGAGAAGGTCGGAAAGATTTCTGTAAAACTCATCTTTTACATCGTCTGAGATGCAGTCAGTGGGAGAGTAGGCAGAGATGACGAAGAGACAACGATGAGTGTACCTATTTTTTCGAGTCCTTACTGTTCCGTTTAGTCGGACGGCGCACAAACGACTGTCTACTAGAATCCAATCTAAGAGAGCTAGTCCTGAGACTCAATGCTATACCTACGCCAGCAAGGCCGCGGGAAGTAGCATGTGGGCTTCCAGATACACGAAGCGTAAATCGAGTTGGTTTGTTACTTTGCAAGTTGAGGTCAAATGAATGACACAACGAAGATAGGCGATAACAAATATTCATTCGATCTAAATGGAGTCAGATCCACAGGCCACTAAAGTGGAGAGTCCGTCAATAAACATCGTCCGATCTAAACGACGACAAAATTACGGGCACCACATGTAAAACAATTTAGGTAGGAAGATAAGTTAGATTCCTAATTTGTTCACTTTGTACGTTAGAATATTGGTATTAGTGCAATGCCCTGATAGTTTTATCAAATAATAGTGACAAAACTGATACTGATATTTTTTTTCCTAACTAACTGTCTCCTTAGACAGTTTAATATAATTATAGTTTGATTAAAAAACTGTTGACGTATCTTGACATATGCTCGATGAATGAAAAATCCGTCACTTTAAATACTAAAATTGACGAACTTAACAATATCATGTTATGTTCACGATGATAATGAACACAGAAATAATTTTATTTAAACATCTAACGTAGTTCTTTTTTTAATTGACGTTATGAAAGTTCGTTAAAGTCATTGAATTACATTAATAAGATTTCGATGATCAACAAACGAATACATGATTCATTTTGAAGTATAAATCCATTTAGATTAAATGAATAGTCAATAACAAATAAATTACATAATTAATTACGTGATTTTGTTGATAAAAACAATTGTATTACTTACGTTTGTTACCCCTCGTGGAGAAGTATAGGCTGCCTACTAGCACTCTCCATTCAGAAAAATTTTATGGCTGATATAATTCCAAGTTTTATTATAATTTCCATTACTCATATGGGGTTATCTAATTAGTAGAAAATTATAGTATCTTTACATATTTCGTAAATACTGAAGTTTGATCCTAAATAATGGATAATCTTTCCCACTTATAGAATGTGTAGGTATCATTACCAAGGTTTGATTTGACAGTTTCGAATGAATTGTCCATTGGGTAGATTGTTATAAAGAAATAAATCGATATATTTGTAATATCCCAATAAGTAGAAAAATTAGATTTTCTGACGTTTCATAACTTAGTATAAGCTACATCTTCAGAGATTGAATAACCAAATTATAATTAATCCAAGTTTAAATAGCACAACGAAACAACAAGAATATTATGTGATCAATCAAAAAACGGGTCTGAATAAATCGATGTCCTGTTATTTCCGTCAAGGTGATTAATGAGCGACTTGTTAAGGATGAAAATCGTATGACCTTTATGGTGAGGAAGGATAATGTTTAATTTGTAATTTGATGGTGTGAATTGTAAATAATATCAGACCAGGTGGCTAGGATAGATAGTCCAAGTAGAATTTATGGTAAGACCTTCTTCTCTCAATGGAAACTTGGATCAATTCTAATTTGGTTATTTATCCTCTGAAGAAGTGGCTTATACTAAGCCACGAAACGTCAGAAAATCTAATTTTTCTACCTATCGGGAGATTACGAATATACTATTTGTTTATTAATTATAGAATAGTATTTATTTATTTTCAATGAAAATTTGTTTTCATTTATGGACCATTTAATAAATGCTGTTTAATTAATGTAAATCATATAGGTAGTCAAAGTAGTAAATTATCTAAACAATTTAAATGAATAAATGGAATACAATGGTGACTGGCTTCAAGAGATATAGCCTGGCGTTCTAGTGAGAAGCAGTGACCAGTGGAGTTCAACCGAGTCACTTGTGAAGTAGTAACTCACTGATGACAATAGTGGATGTGTCGCTTAATTTCGTGGATTAGTTGAAGTTAGACATTAACACAGTTGGATGCCGGTTCAGTTGTCTAGTTGGTTAAGCGCCTGGCGCAAGACTGATAGGTCCTGGGTTCGAATCCCGCGAGGCGAGATCGTGGATGCGCACTGCTGAGGAGTCCCACAATAAGACGAAACGGCCTTCCAGTGCTTCCAGGTTTCCCATAGTGGCCTAGCTTTAAATGACTCATGATCTCAACTGTTGGAATACAAATGATCAAGTTTTTTTTTTCTATGGACAGAATAATTCTTAAAAAATCTGTTTCACTAATCTATCAGTATGATAACATCTTAAATATCTCGAATATAACGTCATTGAGAGTTCAACAAATCTACACAAGGATAATATAAGAAATCATTAAAATATATTTTATTCTCAAAAATCATCAAAAATAAGTATCTGAATTATGTACAAGTAAATAAAATGAATCTTCAGTGACGGCAATAAACTTCAGTTTTTCAAGTTCTATACGAAATAACAATAAAAATTGATTGTTTAGTTAATAAAGATTATTCACTTACTTTAATCTTACTAGTACATCACTAAATTAATATTTGAATATCTAAGTTGTAGAGAAATAAGCAAAATTTGGACATAAGAATAATGTTCATCCGATATATTTGTGAATCCCTAATTTATCTTTCAAATATCAGTCTATCCTTTTATTATTCCTGTCAACACTATATTGCTCATATGGAAATGAATGAATGATATAATGCATTTTACTATATACTTTAAAGTTGATTTGGCTAGATTCGTATTTTGCATTACATTACATGTTTTTTTTCGTTTAAATACTATTTAAAGTGCCTCAAAATATTGAAAATAAATAGCTTGTATTTTATTTTCAGGAGATAATATATTTTGTGAAGAATGTAAATTTGTTTATAGTAGAATACAAAGTATTTTTACTGATCACACAGAAATTAAACAATTGAAATCTTCACTGAAAGTAATATGTATACTTTATGCTCCAAACGAATCAGAAGTAAGTTTATGTTTTAATTAACTGATTTATAAAAGTTCCCATTCATACATTCAGTATAAAAATAGATAAAACAATTATTTCCTTCTAGTTAGGTTTTTTTCATGGCTTTACGCCAATATATATACAGGTGAAGATGAAGTGTAGTCCAAAGTAGTTTTTCCACAATCACGAATATCAAGTAGCACGAAACCCGGGTCCAGGGTTTCCTGTTGACTACCTCCAACCACCATCTAAATCTCAATACATAGTGCCCGCAGTGTCGAGTCACCTAGACTGGTGGCCACATTGCAACATGACCGATAGCATTCGATCTGCACTAATAAGGACTAGACAAGCAAGACATTGATCACCACCCAGTGATCAATCAATTGTAATTACATCTCAGTCCTACAGGAGGTTAGTCACGGCTCGGATAGCTCAGTGGTAACGTCTCTGACTGTGAAGCTGGGTGACACGAGATCGAATCGGTCAGGGAGCACCAGTTCCCTCAAGATTACAGGTACACCTTGCTGACGAGTGCCAAGTAGCACGAAACCCGGGTGCAGGGATTCCTGTTGACTACCTCCAACCACCATCCAAACTTAGAACATAAGAAAATTTTACAAGCATGGCACATCAAAATCGATCCCATCTATCAATCAGAAAAACCATGAACAAATAAAACCAAGAATGAAATCAAAGGGAGATATAGTCAAAAAAGGAAGTAGACAGGGACAGGTTAAAAGTCAATAATAACCAACCTAGACGAGGGTCAACAGGACAAGCTGTGAGTCATATGTGAAGAAATCTGAACACTTCCCTTCTACCTGAAGTTTGTGTTGATGATGTCGTTCGGAAGAACAAAGAAAGCTCCATGATAAAATCATCTAGCTCAGAGAAGGGAATTCCACCAAAGTCATCCATCTGAGCTACAAATATTTCCCACTATCTAGTTTATGTGTTCAGAAAAAATTAGTGTCACCCATGTACCTGGCTAGATATGACGTAATGAACGATTAAGATTTACATCCAGTGTTTGTTTGTCTGTTATTTTTTTTTACCTTTCTCCGTATATATTCTCCAATCTCTAACCAACTACACACTTATTGCGTAATCTTAATGATGTTTTGTGATTACTACTCCAAAGTCTATTTATCCATATTTGACTTACTTCCAATGTTGAAATACCGACTACAACTACTTCATTATTCTGATCACAGCTAGTATACCTGTCTACTCATTAACAAGTTGTATTTTTACACATTATATGCAGTTATACAATCTATTTCATTATGATCATTTACTCATAAATTACCTAGATTATTTTAAACTTATCAACAGAATGAGGGTTTATGTAGATTGTAGTAATTTTAATAGTTAAATTCATGTGGAGTCCCATACTTAGATCAAAACGGCCGTCCAGTACTTCCATGTTTTCAGTGGTGGTCTAGCTTACATTGACTCATGAATTCAAATATTTTAAAATTTTCTTATAAAAATTCATTTGTTCTAGAGTAACGCCTCATAGTGATCCAACAGAAAATAATATTGTTCGCCTACATATGCGTTGTCCCAGTTTTTAGTATAGGAATCTTTAATATGTTCTTTTTCTTAAAGTTAAACGAAAACTAATCATTTTTAAACATTTTTTCAATATTAAATGTAATTTTAGTGTAATGAAGTTCTTCAAGAATATATAGATTATGCGATTACGTATTTTCAACAACATACAGCAGATGAATCATGTTATGTAAGTAATCCTGTTTTAAACCAATATCATCATTGAGTTTACTGATAAACCATATCTGATATTTTTAATGAGTATAATGTTAGATTTAATTTTTATTTGTGTATGGAAATAATAGAGGTACAATTACAGAAGGAGAGTTCAGTGTACATTTCTTGTCAGCAATTTATTCAATGAGTTATAAGTACGTAAATTTGACTTAATAATAGGATTTTAAAGATTCACTGTAACGTATACGTATCTTAGAGAAATCACACTTCTGAATATAATTATTAACAATCCTTATGAACCAAGGACAAATATAAGATAATGATAATGTGTTATTCATGGTTTAATGAAATACTCATTTATATTGATAAATTTTACATTTAATAATAAATCTGACTTTCATATTTTTCATCAAAAGGCTGATCAGTCACAGTTCTTAATATCAACAGCAGGAAAATTCGAATTGTTACATATAAATTCATAATGGTCAAACATGTTAATGGCTAACGGAATTATGTAGTTGTTGAGTTCGAATCACAAATAAGACGAAACTTACATTCTACTGCTAACCCAAAACCAACTATATTAAAACTGTGTTATTTTGGGTAATATCATGATGGTATACTTAAAATTCACATATTTCAGAAAAAATGATATATATATAGGTTCCTAATATCACCAATTTTAAGACTCAAACCCTGATATATTTTACTAAACGCTGAGTAAAACTGAAATGTTTCACTTAACTGGATAGTTAGAAAATTGTCAAATGAAATAAACTGAACGTAATTTAATGATAATTTGGATGAATTTTATAAGTAAACCCATCTCAAACCCAAAATGTAATCGTTGTAGTGTTATGTACATACATGCACTATAATTCGTCAGTTATTTCAGAAAAAACGTTTTTCCGTGTGCTAGAAAACCTTTATACACAACTATCATCCTCAAAAAAGAAACGAAAAAAAGTGAGTAGAAACAATGATTAGCAAATGGTACAAGCTTTTATACAATTAAAAGCAGACTATATTGTAAAACGTTTATCATTTCGGTTATCAATACGATTTGAATAAGAGTTAGTTAATTTATATTGACTACCAGTAATTTGGTCTACATTGAATAGAACATAAAACATTTGAAAAATAATGGTAAACTTCAGCAGATGTTTCATAGAAAATTTCACTTATCCTATCAGTAATATTATTAAGGATTCATTGGACAACAGTATACGATTAAATACACATAACTATTAAGCCCATAAATAAAGCCCGTTTATTTCAAACAAATACATATTAGTACAGTGGTTTATGCTACTGATGTCAATAGTTATAAGTAATAAGTATCATCAATCGAAAGTGAAATACGTGATGGCAGAAAGTTACAAAAATTGAAGAAAAGAAAATGAGAACAGAGAATGATTAGTGTAGAAACGAGGGAACAATGAAGTCTGAGCCAGTTGACTGATTTTTGCAAATCAAGTATTTACTGTATAGTGCTCAGATTTTACTAAGAGATTTTGTAATTTTATGTTCAAGTACATTGGATTGTCTCTACTTGTGTTCTTATTCACTACAGCATAAGAATCTTCATTAGTGTATACACATTACCTCTCCAGGGATCATATTCTGATTTGTTAATTTGTTATTAGTTAAATTTGATCTTTTATATCAGTCAGAGAAATTTATATGTTAAATCAATAAAATTTTATTTTAGACACTTTGCTCTTTTCTAAAACTTTACAAACTTATCTTCCATTAACTGGATGTTACGTGTAAGTTTGTTTGTTTTTTTTTTTCTTAAAAAAACAACGTGATAAAGCATAATAATAACAAAATAAATTCACAATAATGAAATAAACAAGTAGGTCCCTTTAAGTACAGCACACTTTTATTTTAGAATAGAATGAAGTTTCACACATATTGTCTGTTATATCAGTGCTATACACAGAACATTTAGTGTCTATAAGTTAATGTTTTTAAACGATCGTATCTTGTTTCTTCAAAGACAAATGTTCTACAAGATGAAAATACATTAAATGAAGCTGCAATTTAACCAATTAAAGTCAGAGTAGTTATTTGTTTAAAAATAATTTTAGTTGCCTAGAATAATAAAACGTATTATCGGTGAGACTATGATTTACGGATGACCTTGAGAGTGTCCATTTAATAACTAAAACCAAGTGTGTTTTATAAATCTGTGTGAGGAATTCGAATTATGGTTACGGTTAGGAATTAGATTTAGAGTTTTCATCACGAACTCTATTTAGCCGAATGGATGAATGAATTTCGCGCCAAAATCCGAGACTTGTTATCTTACATTTTATTGGTTCATAAATTATAGACGCCGTATTATCTTCCAATTCTCATTATGATATATTGCCATTGCTTACATTCAACCATTAAGTCAATTAATAAAGAATCCATTCTTCCTCTCTTTATACACATACACGTAATTATTACAGAGGAGTAATATAATTATCCTTATTTATTTGGTGAGTGTAGGCTTTCAATAAAACTAAAATCTTGTCTTAGTTTAGAATTATAATTATCATAGCTTGAATATGAGTTGGTTTGGTTATCATGGTAAGATTTATCTCCTATCAATCTGCTAATACGAATAAGAAAACTTAAACCATATCTCATTCGTTCTAACTTTTCTAATAACCGATCAATTACATAAGCAAATATTATTTATTTAATATTCAATTATCGTATAGAACAATATGAATTTCATTTAAATAAACAGATGACAATAAACCTTTTTTTAATATCCTATTGTATTTTAATTTCAGATGATTGAAAATTACAGAATTGATTATTTTGTGTTTTTTTGTAACTGGGTTTCCTAATTTTAAAAAAATTGTATGTTATCTTTCTTTTCTCTCTCTACTTTTGATGTTCTTCTAAGTTGTTACCTAATATTGAGTCTATAAACGTTCACCTTTTATAAATCACATTCTTTAATTTGAAACATTTAAATAAACTAAACTTAAGTATCATACAATAATCATTTTCATTTTCATATTGTTATTGTTTTTCTAAATAAAAAGTTTAAAAATAATTTTATGTATTTTGTAGAATGAAATAACATTAAAAGAAAAAGAAATGATAAAATATTATAGACTATCAGTTAAATAAGACAGTATCATTGGACTTGAACTCTTTTCTATATTAGAATGAGTTTTGTGGAGAATTTAGGAAATTTCACAGGTTGAAATCACCGTTGGATGCCAGCTCAGTGGTCTAATGGTTAAGTACTTGCGCGCGAAGCCAGTAGGTCCTGGGTTTGAGCCCTGCGTGATGCGGGATCGTGGATGTGCACTGCTGAGGAGTACCGTACTAGGACGAAACGCCGTCTTCCATGGTGGTCTAGCTTCAATTGACTCATGATTTCAATCTTTTCTGTATTGTTCAATTAGTCGAAACTGTAAATAAGGTCTCGTTGTCATGACAACTAAACTATAAATAATTTACTAAAAAAACACTACTTTTTTGAAGTAGAAATGTATAAGCATTAAAAAAACTGAAAATAATTACAACGCAGTTGTTAAATATTACAACCAATTAATCTCATTATAAATAATTATGGAAGGGTGAAAATGTAACAATGACTTTTATAACTGATAATTAATATAAGAAAGCTTGTGACTTAAGGCTATATCGAAGCAATCCGCACAGGATACACATATGCCAACATGAGACTGATCAATTGCAGTCCTAAATAACAATGGGAAGATATAATTAAAACAACACCAAGTGAGTTTAAACTTCACCCCATTGTCCAAGATGGTGGCTATTAGGACTCAGTAGCTAAATGGAGAACTCAATGGCGTTTAAAGTGAACGGTACCAGAGTGAACATCAGTTCTAGGATGCGGGTACGTCCAGCTGACGAGTCGCAAATAGGATGAGACGCGCGTCCTGAATTCCTCTGCTAGTCACTATCCATCTGTTCTTATAATACAAGGAAGAAAAAACAGTGTTATTCAAATAAAATTAATTTAAAAGTTGAATTTATGAGTCAATTAAACCTAGACTACCATGGAAAACCTGGAAGCACTGGACAACCGATTCGTCCTAGTACGAGACTCTGTGCGGGATTCGAACCCTAGATTAGCGGCCTCGCGCGCAAACGCTTAACCTCCAGACCACCGAGCCGGCATCCAACGGTGTTAATGTCCAACTTCAACCAACCCACGAAAGAAGCCGTAACGGGTGGAGTACAACCAGGTCAGTTGTGCGATAGTAACTCACTGAAGACAATGGTGGACAGTGAAACTAATTAAGAAGACACGAGGTAAATACAGATTTAACCAATATTAGCCTTATGTACTTACTTACATACTTATGCCTGTCACCCCTCGCGGAGGACCATAAGCCGCTGACCACCATTCTCCATGGGAGAAATAAAGTATATACTGGGCAGTGATCCTACATAATATAAAATACTTTAATTTTGATGGGCTATTCTAGCAATGCATCATAATAATACATACTCTAAATAATATTCGAGTAACTGTTGTTCCTTAAACATTATAAGTTATCTGACTATATCACCGCTATTCAGATCCTTAGTAATTTAATAAGTAACACCTGTTTCACACATTCATTTACTGAAGATAGTTTTTAAGGCCGAAATTACTGTATATTTTAATTGATGTGAGATTCAGATGTAAAACATGTTTATAATTCCTGAGTTTTTTGTTCAAGTTTATGTTGAAAAATACCTTAACAAGTGAGCATAACGTCGTGCAGATATTTTTGAGACTAAGTTATTGGAACGAATATTTAGAGTTTAATACGCAATTCTATCTTGTTCAATGTCCCCCTCAATAATCTAACGTTCATATTGTCAATTAATAACGTTTTTCACTCGTGATCGAAATGTATGAAGTTGAAAAGGTAATTCTAAAACTATATTTGAATCTGGAATGAATATTTTCAAAAAGTTATTTTCTTAGTTGGAGATTAATTCATATTGAATGATAAACTTTATATTTATAATAACATATTTGATTGTCAAAGATTTTTATATTATTCTAGTGTTTGACATTTCAAACATTCATTTATCACCTTGAAGCTAAAAACTGGTTAACCACAAAGAAAGATGGTTCATTCTAGTCAAAGCAGTTTGTTAACAAACAAAAGGACACAATCGTTGATAATTATCTTAACGAGTACATTTAAATAGTATTAAAATAATGACTCAAAACATAAAGACCAAATATATCATACCATAATTTATGTTGTGTACATTCTAATATTAAATAACACTTAAAGAGTATTAGATAGAGCAAAAATGTTTAGATTTTGTTATCTGTAAAGAAAAAAAACAACATTAGAAATGGAAAAATCTTAGTTCTTTTGGTATAGTGAAAACTATTACATTATCCTAAACTGTTTAAATAATTTGATATGATGATTATCTTAGCCAAATATGAGTATTCTCTGAGAAAACAGAAACTCATGAAGTATTGATAATGGAATTTAAACATACTCTGCAGCTGGAGATCTTATAGCCTCACCTAAAACAGAAGATATAAATACTTTTAGCTTTTCTTTCAAGGAAAAACGTTGGACTTTCATACAGCATTCAAGTATCATTAACGGAGTTCATTGCATTTAACAGAAATATTAGTTATTTGCACTGAGTTTAGTAGAAATGAAATATTCTACTAACGACAATCAGTAAAACGATACATTTTGTTCAATATATTCTATCTTATTTAAAAACTAATCATTAATAAAAAAACTTAACTGAAATTTGTTATTTCTCTGGATTGTGGAACATAAATATCTGTCATTTTCGATGGTACAATGTAAAATATGTCTATGTCCATTATAAGTCTTTTGCTTATTGTGATAGGTTACTTAAGTGTGAAACTTTCATTATCTTTCTAGACAGTACTATCAACAAACCCTACAAATGAAATAAACTCTCGGAATTCCAGATGATAATATTGCTCAAATCGATGAATAGACTATCCATCTCAGCAAGCATAATAAATCCTTGAAATTCTTCCGTTAAACTAAAAACCTAATGTCTTATCATTGAGACTGACCAATATAATCGGTTGGAAGACTGTTTGAGGTGGCAATTTAGGTGAACCTTTTTTTCCGAAGTATCGTAATTCAATAAACGTTCCATCGTTTCAACGCTTATTATTGAGTCACTTAATTCTAAAATGATCTTTTACAAGGATTCGTATTTCACTTCATAGTAAATATAAACGCCAGCTTAATTATATAGAGAAAAATAAATTGTTCAGTGACATTTTAATATCTAGTTGATTTGTTTTATGTAACAACCAGCCCATGGGTTTTTGTGAATAGTTGTCAGTTTACTAAGTTACATCATGATGAAACAATCATTAACGTTGATAATAAAAAACTTAAATCTTTTCAGTAAAATAAATATTCAGCACCATGAGTATAGATTTCTAACTTTACTAATCATAAAGTCTAGTTATTTGATAAACTCAAACACATCATTCTGTTGAATACAAACGAAAGGGCATCAATATTTTTAAGACTATAGCTGATTGGTTCTTGATTCCTGAAACTGTTCTGTAAGAGTTCATAATGAGTAATTCATCATGTTTTATTTTGCATCCATGGAAACTATTACAGTTCACAAACAAATTACTCTTATAAATGTATTGTGAAACGTTACAGTCCTGTTGACTGACATTCATCAGCAAAATCGAATATCCCCTTAATATTGAAAATCTTGAAATTATTCAATAATAAAATCACAGTCGCATACACTGAATTGCTTTAGCCAAAACTATCCTCGACATATACAAAAGGATCACCCTACCATATATACAAGGAATATCAGAAACCGCGACGAGAATGCTGAAAACCTTCGGAATAGGTGTGGCACACAAACCGATAAAATCACTACAATCAATCTTATGCAAGCCAAATGATGAAGTAACAAAGGAAAACAAATCAAACATCATCTACAAAATAAATTGTGCCAACTGCGAAAAACACTACATCGGACAAAGCGGACGCCCCCTTCACCTTCGCCTACATGAACATCAATTAGCAGTCAAACGGCATGATATCTCTTCACTTATATCAATACACGTGGACAACTGCGGACACTCATTCGATTGGAAAAATGTGGAAATCTTAGAGGAAACTTCAAAAACACCAGAGAATTTTTAGAAGCCTGGCACTCAGGTCAATCAGCAATCAACAAGCATATTGAAATCGATCCAATTTATCAACCAGTCAGGAAAAGTATGCACAAACATAAGAACAAAAATCAAAACAATGGGCGACACAACCAAAACAAAGAAATAAACAACGACAAATTTAAGGTCAATAAGAACCAATCAACGTCGAGGTGCACAGAACAAGCTTTGAGACACATATGGAGAAATTCAAACACTTCACTTCTATCTGAAGTTTGTGCTGATGATGTCGTTCAGAAGAACGATGAAAGCTCCACGACCAAACCATACAGCTCAGAGAACAAAACTCCACCAAAATCGACATATACAATAATCGAATATCGAATGTTCATTATTATCTTGTACGAAAACCATCGATTTATTTGAAAAATTAATATAAACGCTTACATTTTTGAGTAGTAAACATTTTAATCTCAGTAGAATTGCATTTATTGAAATCCTACAAATGTAAATTGTAAATTACATGAATGATTCTGTGATAAAACATTTTCATTTTATTAGATAAGATTGTTTTTCCAACTAATCAATCTGTAATAACGCCATGATCGACTTTTAAAATCTCCTCATTTCTTTAAATTAAAAGCCAATCAACAGATTTATGAAATGATAAGTTATTAACAAAAGGGTTTATAAATAAATTATTGGATGTTACCGAGATAACAGTATAACCTGATAATTTGCCTAGATTTTCATCTATGAATTTTTATAATCACTAGTTCTGTTGTATTTAAAGTGAAAGAGAACTCAAGTGGAAAATACCAATTCATTGTTTATCATAATATTATAGAGTTCGTTCGGAAAATCTAAAAACCATACATTAAATACTTCATTTGCATATCTTCCATCATTTATCTTCTACATCCTTCATGATTTTTTCAATTCTCAATTCCTTTACGTTTCCGTTTCTGTTTTCTTCACTTCAATCTTTTCAGCCTTCTTTTGACAGGCATTCGAGTCCCGATAGATGTTACATATTACTTATATCTATCGATATAAGTAGCATACACCAAAAATCAACTCGAGTTTGTGTACTTGTAATAATTATTTGACTAATTTTATTATTTAAATGTTTCACTGATATTTATTTTCATACTGTGTTATATTCACATTTACATACAATTCTGGACTTCTTCATTATGAGTCATCTGAGTTCGACTTTCATATTACACGTTCTCAACAAAATTCAAGTACTAAAAATCACTTATTTTTTAATAATTAAATTCATTAGTTCAATACTAAAACAAAACGGTCGTCTAGTGTTTTCAGGATTTCAATGATGGTCTAAATTACAACAAATCATGAATTCAACTATCAAAATTACTACAATCTCCCCAAATCTT